TGATTCTACAGCGCAGCGTGTAAAGGAGCTAAGGCTGATGATTTTTCTTCAAGCTTTTCTAGTTCACTAACTGGATTTCTCGGTGGTCGAACAGACACTCACTCACTCTATGGTGTTCACTTCTTCTGATTACCTTGATTCCTCTCTGGTGAGGTTTGTCCGATTTAAATCGCATCACATTGGATGCATTTCATTTTATAGACACAATTAGGTACAGAATCTTTAGGGATTTGGTATTTTATATGGACAAGGTTGTTTCGTGGTGTGTCTGATGTTTTGAAGAAAATTCGGATGTCGAGCTTATTGAGTACTTTTTTGATATCATCTGACGTCTCCGCTCTATATGGAATGACAACTGTTGAGGTCCATGTTTTCGGAATGCGTTTTCGACCATGCTTAATGTCAGTGTTGATTTTTTTGATGAAGTCCCTTGGGTAGTTGTTTTGCTTGAGAGTTTCAGTAATGTTTGATATTTCTTCTTTTTCTATCTCATCCGTTGTCAGAGAGTGTGCTTGCCTAAGAAGACTTGAAACAACTGAAAATTTTGCACTGGTGGGTGGTGATGATCCGAAGTCTAAATATTTACTGGAGTAGGTTTTCTTCCTCAATATAGATATACTAAAATGTTCATTTTCCCTCCTCTTAACTAGTCAGGCTGTCTAGAAATGGTAATTCACCGACGTCTGATTTTCTTTCTGAAGTAGACTGGATTCTAGGAGACAAACTGTTTATTTTCTCCAGGAATGAACTGTGTAGATCTCGTTTTAGCACTACAAAAGTATCAGCTAAATGTCTTAACTATATTTTATGAGTGAGTATACTCGAAAAGATGTTATCCTCGAATCTATTCAGAAAAAGGTCAGTGACTATTGGGAAGACTGGTGAACCCATAGCCACACCATTTTTCTGTCTATATAAATTCCCTTTAAATGTAAAATAATTATTTTCTAGACAGAATTTTAAGCTCTTAATTATTTCACTGGTGTCCAATGGACATCTTTTTGATAGCGTTGTATCTGATTCTAGTAGACTGGAAATGATATCAAGACTTTCCGTAATAAGGATACTAGTATATAATGAGTTAATATCATAGCTTACCATAATATCATCTTCATCAATTTCTCGGTGTTTTATTTGGGATTTGAAATCATATGAATTTTTTTTTTACAATATTTTGAGTGTCCTTTTGTAGTGGTTGTAGTATCGAGAGTAAGTATTTGGAGAGGTAGTATGTCGGTGAGTTGGTGAAATCTATTACTGGTCTTAATGGAACTGTGGGTTTATGTATCTTTGGTTGACAGTGGAATCTCGAAGGTACAATAACTGTTAAAAGTGAACTTTCTTTGGACATATATAATATGTTTGGAGGATTTCATCATAAGCTGACATCATTTAGAGAACCACTGGAAAACCTGGGAGTACTGGACAGCTGTTTCCTAGTTTGGGACTCTTCATCAGTACGCGCCCACCGGGATTCGAACCCAGGACCTTCTGGTTACAAGGCGGGCTCGTAGACCATTGAGCCACTGGGACCCGATCCAATGGTCCTTGAATTCTAACTTCTGCGCGTACTGATGAAGAGTCCTAAACTAGGACGAAACAGCTGTCCAGTACTCCCAGGTTTTCCAGTGGTTCTCTAACTGATGTCAGCTCATGATGAAATCCTCCAATTATAATTAAACAAAATCCCTACCAAACCAATACTTGAATATATAATATGTAACAAAATTTATTTTTAATACGTTATGGAGTTCAGGGTAGGCAAATATTATTACCTGAAGTTTTTCTGTATATAGTTAGAATTTAGGATGCATGTGATTAATCCAAAGTACTTCAATCACCTTTGATAACCTCAAATTAGAATTTTGCGAAATAATTGAGAAGCAATTACTAATATCGATTTTTATGGCCATATATTATTAAAAATATCTCATTGAACGATATTGGATTTATAATAAGATTAAATGTAAAAGAGAAGATTTGTAGCTCAGGTGGATGATTTGCAATTAAAAGTGTTCTCTGAGCTGGTTGATTTAGTTGCGAAGCTTTCGTCGTCCTTCTGGATAACATCTTCAGCGCCATATTTAGCACAAAGTGAAATGATTTAAATTTCTTCATGAGTGATATAATCGCGTCTCCTGGTAACCATCTTTACATATGTATTGACCATTTTCTATTGACTTGGATTTTAAACTTTCTGGTCACCTGATTTACTTTTTATTAGTTGGTATATTTCGTCTATATTAACGTGTTTGTTAATTGCATTTTCGTTTGAGTACCAGGCTTCTAGGAATTCAGTGGCACTTTTGATGTTTCCTCTGTCTAAGATTTTGACATTATCTCAATCAAATTGATGACCATAATTGTCTATATGCATTGATACTAAAGAATACATATCGTGTCTTTTCACGGTTGATTTGTGTTCTTGGATCGCCCATATCAGGATTAATAGCTGAAGCCGTTATGCAAAGATTAGAATTAATAGCTCTACCTATAATTAAACTGAAAATCTGGATACGTTACGTTGATGATACATTTGTAATAATTAAGAGAAATGATTTAGAATATACCCATAAATTAATAAACAACATATTTGAAGACATCAAATTCACAAGAGAAGAAGAATTAGATAACAAAATCCCATTTTTAAATGTCTTAATCAGGAGAACCAACACAGGAGATTTAGAGACACAAGTATATAGAAAATCAACGCACACAGATCAAATACTCAACTATACTAGCAATAATCCAATTACTCACAAACGAAACTGTGTGCAGACATTGTTTAAAAGAGTTCAAACACATTGTAGCACTCCAGAGTTGAAAAGAATGGAAAAAATACCTACAAACGGTCTTCAAAAAGAATGGTTATCCACAAAATTTCATCAAAAAGTGTTTAAAGTCGAATCAAAACACCAACAAAGAACCATCATCAAAGACCACAAGAAAATTCATCCTACCATACATGAGAAATATCTCTGAAATAACAGCTAGAATACTGAAACCGTTTGATATAGATATAGCACACAAGCCAGTAAAATCGCTTAATTCGATATTATGCAAACCGAAAGATCCAACAGAAAAAGGGGATAAAATTAATACCATTTACAAAATAAATTGTATGAACTGCAACAAGCATTACATCGGCCAAAGTGGGCGTCCCCTTCGAATCAGAATCCAAGAACACAAATCAGCCGTGAAAAGACACGATATGTATTCTTTAGTATCAATGCATATAGACAATTATGGTCATCAATTTGATTGAGATAATGTCAAAATCTTAGACAGAGGAAACACCAAAAGTGCCAGTGAATTCCTAGAAGCCTGGTACTCAAACGAAAATGCAATTAACAAACACGTTAATATAGACGAAATATACCAACTAATAAAAAGTAAATCAGGTGACCAGAAAGTTTAAAATCCAAGTCAATAGAAAATGGTCAATACATATGTAAAGATGGTTACCAGGAGACGCGATTATATCACTCATGAAGAAATTTAAATCATTTCACTTTGTGCTAAATATGGCGCTGAAGATGTTGTCCAGAAGGACGACGAAAGCTCCGCAACTAAACCAACCAGCTCAGAGAACACTATTAATTGCAAGATTAAGTGTATTCAAATTTTCTGTCTGGTTTAATAACCTCTCATCAACATGTCCTTTTCATCGAAATTACAGTTAAACATATTAGTTTTAAGACGGTTGTAGAGATGCATTGAAGTGAAATGTTGATGTTCCAAACCCACTAAATTAACTAGACGTGTTGTTATTCGTGTAGTTGTGTTATCTTAGCTGGATGATTTGATTGCAACGCAGTCAATTTCTTCCTAGACAATGAACGCCTGCTTCTCGGAAAGTTTATCGGCCATCTCTCTCTCTTGATGATCTTGAATGTGTTTGGTTGGTCCCGGGGATTTTCTCAATTGTGTTGCTGTTGATTGTTTTATTGACCTGATAGTTGACTTTTAGTCCATGGAACTTTTGTATTTAGTATATGATAAACTTGTTCTAGGTCAGCGTGTCTCCTGATTTCAGATTCGTCTGAGTATCAGCCTTGTGAGGGAATCCTTAACAGTTTTAATGTTTCCATTGTCTACGGTTGGCACATTTTCACTGTCGAATTAGTACCGTAGTTGTCTATCTGGCTTGATATGAGGGAATGAACACATCACACATTTTGACAGACAGAAGAAGTATCAAGTATTGGTTTTGTAGGGATTCTGTTGGATTATTTGGAAAATTTCATCATGAGCTGACATCAGTTAAAGAACCATTGGAAAACCTCCAGGAAGTACTGGACAGCTGTTTCGTCAGCCTAGTTTGGGACTCTTCATCAGTACGCACCCACTGACAGGGTTCGAACCAGGGACCTTCTGGTTACAAGGTGAGCGGGCTCGTAGACCAATAATCCACTGGCCCTATTCAGTCACTTACATGGGATTCTAGTGGGAAGCCGTGACCAGTAGGGTACAGCAGGTTGAAGGTGAGGACAGTTACTCATTGAAGACATTGCGAAGTGGTCGCGTTATGTCGTGAATTGGCAGGGGTTAGAATTCATGGGCTGGCCATTGGATCGACCAGGTCCCAGTGGCTTAATAGTCTACGAGCTAGCTCGCCTTGTAACCAGAAGGTCCTGGGTCCGAACACTGTCAGCGGGTGTATACTGCTGAAGAGTACCAAACTAGGATGAAACAGCTTTCCAGTACTCCCAGCTGAATTTCCAATGGTTCTCTAACTGATCTCAGCTCATGATGAAATCTTCCAACCAGTTGGACAGGAGAAGTCTAAAGTCTTACTTCATATTGAAGTTGGCGCTGATGTAGACACAATGAAATCTCAGTTAAACTATCCAACTGGGAGGACATAGAACAACTACACGAATATCATGGACTTGAGCTGCAACTCTCCTCCATCCTTTCTAATTAGGCACTTATATGGAATGCACCTGAAACAGAAAATCAGCTATATACAAAAAGAAACTTCACACGCAAATTACTCTTCCTCACTCTTATTCCTGAAATATTTCTCACACTAAAACCATACAATTACTACAGTATTACACTCGGTTGATTCCAAAGGCAAAAAATAAGAAAAATTCTGAATGGAACAAAACAAACAAGGAGGAAAGACAATTCAAAAGTACAAAGAGAGAGATAGCTTCATCTATTGAAACATTTAACACTTCACTATTTTCAAACAATACGCTACAAGCGGGAAAAACAAGGCACAAATCGATGTATACGTGAATGCTGCATAAAACAATGAAGTGGCTTCAAAGTATTGTAATAATAAACCCCATAACAGTCCACCTAGACTATTACTTATCCCATACATTGTACTTGTTAGAATTGCTTGTAAACTTGTTAGAATATCATGATTCTTATTGATTTTTGTCTCTAAACTCACTTGTTCCGTTTGTGATAATAAAGCATTCATTAATACAGGGAAGTAGATGCCATAGGCAATTTCACCAATTAGAAAATACCAATAATTACTGGAGAATGCATAGCATAGAAATCGGATAGTCAACATAATCTGTGAGATTATCTGACACGGGATACTACCGAAGCGCTTGACTAGTGGACCTGAAATAAACAACAGCGTGGGGATCTCGACAACAATCGATGTCGTTGTCAATAGGCCAAGAAAATAATGCGGTACATGGTAGATAGTAGTTAGTATTAAATAGTTATACTCTCCAATAAATGAGATAATTAAACCGGACATGAAGGCAACCATTAGGCATTGTATCATTCTTGGTGAACGTATCGCTGTGGTCAGAGCACTTGTAAAGTGTTTTTCAACTGGTTTTGTATAACTGTAATTACAGAAAGCTGATGCAATGATACCGATCACTTGGCATACTGTGGCTATGACAAGTGCTGGTGTATAATTAGGATTCACTGGACGAATATCTCCTGAATTACTCGTAGTAGAGCAGTAGCAGTAGGAGTTGTAGTCGTAGAGTATAATAGTCTTGTAGACGACATTTTATTCATATGAAAATGGCTGCTTGATGTAGTGTAGTGATGGATAACAAAACCAGTTAACAAGGAACCAATCATAAAACCGAATGAACCGAATGCTCTAGACTTTCCATAATATTGAGCTTTACTTGTTCCAAGGATTGAATAAGTCGCTGAATCCAGTAGATTTGAAATTGGTGCATGCATTGAATTCATCAGGCAGCGGAGGATTAAAGCGAACACTACAGTTGTCCATTGTGCTTCACCTAATCGCAAATTTTGTTTTTTGAAATGAGGTAAAAGTTGAATGGTGAATATATTAGGCGAAGATGAATATTTTGAAATTGAAATAAATAGGACGGGTATAAAAGTAATCGCAATAGTCTTTCTACGCATAGTTAAGCAAATGTCACAACCGATGTATTGTTGATGCATGAAAAATCGATAAAACAGTTGTTAAGAGAGACAAATATCACGTCTAGTATGATTACATCATTCCACTAAGCACATAATCCAAATAACGCAAGAACAATTACCTTAGAAAATTCAAATAGTGTTTGACGGCCTCTGCTCTGTTTATTACAGTGGACGGGTGATAAGGTGTTTTCTGTGGTTGATATTAGATGGTTGGAGTAAATCGGCAGGAAGCCTTGCTCGACCTAGATTTCGTGCTAGTTTGCACTCACCAGTCAGCAGGGGGTATCTGCAACCTTGAAGAAAGGAACTCATGTCCCTTCTGAAATTTGAACCCACTTCACTCAGTGCAGCCTGCAGTCAGAGACGTCACCACTGAGCTATTCACGATCGTAATTGACCTCCTGTAGGACTGCATTGGAAACTTTGATTTCAAACTAGTTAGTAACTAGTGCAATAATCAAATCTCGGATGCTTCATTAGTTCTTTCAAGGTTGCAGGGTACGCCTTGCAGACTGGTGAGTGCCGACTAACACGAAACCTATGTCAGGCAGGGCTTCTTGCCGATTGCCTCTAACCATCCAATATCAACAATTCACAGTGCAGTACACCGTGATGGTGACTGATAGAATTCAGTCTGCACCAAACATTTCACTGGTTACTATCTAGTGTCCAATGAAAGTGTTCTATGTTTGCATCAATTCCATCTTATTAACAAGCGTCACTAGTTGACATGAGCATTTTACAATTACTTATATCACCTTCGATCTGTGTTCAATTTCGCCTTGTTTATCGTGTGTTTATAAGGCGTCAGTGATTAAAATGTAGCATTTTCACCAGTAGTGCGTCGTGGCATACGTAGGACGCTCGCCGGCACACACATGGTCCGGGGTTCGAACCCCGGCCGATGCACTCCTTTACCTCTCTAAGCCAGAAATAATGCTGGTGAAGGGGAAAGGTTGGGCATGAGGCTAGCAACCCCATCCTGTAAAAAGTAAACACTGCTACAGAAACTTCAAACCACTAGCTTGAAGCTTTATGTTCCACTGGGGAACGTGAAGGATAAAAAAAATTTTCACCAGTCACGAAGGAGGTCTAGGTGAGACTGCTGGCCGACGAATACACTTCTGAACCTCACCTAGTTTCATAGCCAGTAGATTTAGGCGGGAAAATGCACCTCCACTACTCCTCAGACTTCAAAGCTTGAAGATCTAAGTTCCACTGGTAACGTGGAGGACACTGATGAAAAGAGTCTTGTGTTTATACCTTCACCAAAGTCCATTATTCAACTGTTTGAAGTGGTTAACACGAAATGTACAACTGATTAATATAAGTAATTGGAGAGAACTCACATCAACCAACAGTGCTCGCCAGTCCAATCAAGGTAATGTAAACTCCGAATAGCTATTCCTATTGCTTTTTTATCTATCTCACCAGAGGGATACCCATTTGGGATTAATTGAGAAGGTCGAATTACTTACGCCAACTAAATTGTGGATAGTTGCCTGTCGGGGAACTGGCAATACACAGAATATGAGTTGTCATTTCACCTTACAAATTACACAGTTTTCTCTGAAAACCCTACACATATTCAAATCACAGCATTTAACCCACTTACTTCTATTGAGAAATAGTACAAAAAGGAAATTTAATTCTATGTTCAACACGATGCATTCATTCAAGCTTTCATGATCTATGAATTGAGTGCATGCGTGCTGCACCGAAATACACAGGAGGAATGATACAAAAATGATGTCCCGTAACTGGTGTAATTTGTCAAATTACCGTATATATGATATGAAAGATGAATAATTCTTACTGACGGAGGTAACTGTGAGTCTTTTCGCGTTAGTCGACAATGTCATCGATTCAATTTCCTTACACCGAATCTTAACTCTATTAAACAGTCCTATTCACAGTAAATAGTCGATTCTACTCAATTCCATCAACAGCTGTCCACTATGCTAGATAGCAAAGACCAGCTGGAAAGGATGAACGGTGAGGAACCATCCATGGAAATATACACATATATATGTATATATATATCTCCATATTTCATTATGACTGAGATCAAAAGTATTAGTCGTTGTCCATCTATTAATGTGTGTACAACTTATCGGCTGATGGGCGTATCCTTCGTCTTTTCTGTCATCATTCCTTCGTGTTCGTGTGATATATTCACCATTTTCTCAAATTATTGGAGATACTTATCAAGTGTTATCAACTCACAATGGTCTACAAATGGATCGTATATGTTTAAATTAATTTATATCTCCTGTTGAAGAATCTTTATTGGATCGAATGCTGGGTCTCTTCTGACATATTGGCTTCTCGTACGGACGATTACGATGATACCATGCGATAGACGTGATGTTAAACAAATAACTCCCGGTACCTATTGCATAAGAGATGGTGACTTTCGTCATCCAGTGTCTCAGTGAACAACGCTTCAATGTTTGGAACGATAGGTGCTAGGTTCTACTCAGTAGGGACAACGTCATCTACTCACTGCGATGGCGGTATATCCAGCTGATAAGTCCCAAACAAGATGAGACGCACACTTCAGTTTCCACTGTCAGTCAGTCAGTATCAGTCAAATAATCTCAACAGAATGCAGTGATGTACTTATCAACTCAATAAAAACACCCTCCACTTACGTGTACGTTCGCAGACAATGTGTGCACAACCAGACTGATTCAATGTTTCAATATCTTGACAAATAAGCTGAATTGTTCGATTTGTTTGAATTATTTCTTGATCATCTGGTGCGACCTTGTTATGTGGATAGTTTTGATTTGCGATATAAACTGCTGATAATTTATTCTGAGATGATGTTTTCCAATGGTAGTAATCGTTTGTTAGATTAGAATTTCGATTGAATTTACATCCTATTAATGCAGTTGGCCAACAGGGCGATACATCTGATTGGTCAGTTGGCAGTGGTCTGATGAAGGTTGACAGAAAAGAGAAAACAACAACAAGAAATTGGAATGAGACAATATTTAACAGGTGATTTTATACTGCAGAATATATCCGTCAGAATATGGGAAAAACAACCGACGGTTGGAGAGAAGAAAACATGTTTCTTTTCGGAGTGGTCGTTAGCTAGACTGTACTGTTTATGATGGCCATGGCGGAGACGAAGATTTGGTGTACTTCTTTTAGATACGTAGTGTTGGCTTGAAATTTCGGATCGCTGATGCCTCATCTATGCCCAGACATATTGATTTCATTCCCTTCTAGAGGTTAGATGGGAACTTGGAGGGATTTCTCAAATGGAACTGAGTGTCCTGAGTTTACGAGGAGTCTGGTTACCACACTGAAGATACACTTCCGTTCTCCTTTTGCAAGCTGAGATTTTCAGGCAGAAATTTAGTAAAATCAATGTAGTCAGTGTCACAGGAGCTAATGAACTTATATATGCATGCTGATGTGGCCCAATGCGACAATTCGTCTTACATGTGATGGCCAAATAGTTTCTTGCAGTGAGAATGTTATTCGTAGGGTGGCAGTAAAGTATGTTTTACTAAGAGATATTGCAAGCTGTCTTCGAAGAATCCCAGCCTCAGTATCACTTTCAGATTGAAGATTCATCAGCAGAATCTTTGGAGGTGGGGAGCAATGTGTGCGGGCAACGCGATGTACCCAGAAGGAGTATGTCCAACATTTGTCTGTGGCATGGCCATCATAAACAGTCTGTTTTCTCAACAACAAAGAATTTATACTGGTGAGTAATTAAGTATAGGCGATTTGTTTCCATTGGACATAATTAATTAGTGTATTTTAGAAAATGAACTCTCCCAGTAGATATCTCGAGACTGTTTTCCACCTTGTCTCGGTGATATTTTTCGCTTTACAATGACAAGTAGAAGAATGCAAGATGTGCTTTTCTTCTTACATCTGAAAGCATACCCACCTGAGTTTCAATCAGTGATAATATTTTCAATGAAATTCGAATTCACTACCTAGACTTCCCAAAGATACACTAAGTCAGCAGAATTATAAGCTCTTGTGTGAATGAAGAATGTCATTTACTGCTCATCAATCTGTGAATAATCCCCATTCAGACATTAGTCAAAACAAAAAAACATTCAGCTCAGTGAAGAGTCTCGTTTTGGCGAATCCATTTTCCTCTTACGCTGTACTATCACATTCACACACACTTTCTTATGACGGAAGATGGGAGTAACAAAAGTGACACGTTGTCATAACTATAGTTTAGTTGTCATTGCTGGTCAATGCATAAAAGGAGTTGGATAAGTGTATTAGAGTTAAGTGGGATTGTGTAAGAGTTTCAGAGAAATAGAAGAGTTACAAGGAGTTAGACAGACAAAAAAACTTGACCTGCGATATCCTCAGGAAAAGAATTTAATCATCTTCGAGAAGAACATTCTACGCAGCAACTCTAAGAACAGTGTTCATCAGTCGTCCATTGGTCTGAACAAGCTTTAATAACAAGCTCACCTGTATGGCCATTTCTGTGTGTATATATCAGTTCACCTATTGTTGCGGGACCGGGTATATGGGTTGATGGATGCGGATCCTGTCTAAAAACATTCAAGAACACTATCCCACTTGGTTGAAGAGAGGTGGTAGTGGCTCAATAAAGAGTCCGATAATCGTACACCTTGTCACCACTGGCCATTCCAGTCGAATTTATCTCAGGTTTGGTCACGAACTGACATCAGTTAGGAAACCATTGAAAACCAGTGAGTACTGGACAGTACTGACCACCACTCACCCATGAGTCTATTGGGAGTCAATCTCAGGACCCGCGAATCATGAGGCGACCACATTGACCGGTCAACTACTGAGATGGAATCCAATGGCCCATAATTTTAACTTCTGACAGTTCTCCATGTGTATCATCACCACCAGTTATTACCTTAGACGATTACCTGTCTCCACAGCCAACTACGAGGATCATACTGGTCAGGAATTCTCACTCAGGCATTCCAGCCAGAAGTGCACATTACATGAATTTCTGAGTGTGTGTTGGTTTGCAGAGATTTCATCGGTGTATATCCATTAACAAGAATAATTTCCTTCTCCATTTCAGACTTCATCCTACTGAAGTATTGGATAGTACTGGTAAATATGGTTAGTTAACAGGTGTGAACAATGGGACTGTAGAAAGTTGCATGAAAACTACGCTTTTTTATTTCTGTAATATGCACTACTTATATGTAAATATAAGTAGTGAATAAGGTAAACTTTCAGAAAATTATTACATGTCATAGGAAGGTCACTGCAGAAGAAACGCAAGTAGAGGGTTACAGTTCTGACAAGGATAGACAATGAGCAACACTGACTTAAAAGCGTTAATTCGGTTGGCCAATCAGAGAACTACCGCATCGTCTACAATCTGTGTGTATCAGACTGCAGTCAAGATTGTCGGTGGCCAGGCACACATTAGCAACAGCCACTGTTAGTCGACTGACTAGCAACAAGGAAATAAACAAAGTCGCTAGATGATACAAGTGTCTTTTACAGAGCATTATTCTACTCTGATCATGATCAGGGGTGGATATGACTAGTGGTTCGTGTGTGTAGTACGCCACAGTGGTGCTAGCACGAATTTTCTACATGAGAGAGGGAAAGTTGGTGGAGAATGGAGAGATTTTCTCACTGCCTGCTTGATACGCCCGAACTGCATACTGTACCTTGTGAGAGAGGGATGGTCAGCGCTGGAAAGCATACCTCTGTGTCTACTGGGTTTATTGATTTGTCTATTGAACACTACCAATTAGGGGCAATATGATGGGTCTGTCGATAACAGAATAGACAGTGATGAGTGAGTGAACTGAACATCCACAGAATTGAGGGAGGATAGATCACCAAACTCCAGGTTAACAAGAAAATTTTTTCTATCTCTGCTCTGCACACAAAACCTCAACATACCACAAATCACTCTCACCCATATATTAACTCAATATAAGTCTTAATCTTGTACTAAACAGCAATCCAAAGGGACGCACAGCTTCATTGCCCCAACCACAGATCCTCCAATACGATAAATCAGTCAGCATACGTGTTGAGATTGAGTCTCACCGAGTGCAGGGTAACTCATTCAGGATGAAGGCTCACCAAGGTGACGTGTCACGCATAGAACGGACAGTGAGCTCTGGATGTGCCTTCTATCCACTCTCAGAAAATTTTGGACAATATAAAAACGCGGACTCTGAAGACTTTTAGTGACAATAACAAATTCACCAAAACAGGGAAAAAAGAGAAACAAACTTATTGAGTATCAAATCATATAAGTTGAGTCAGTATGAATACCTGCATAGGGTGGGTTTTGTCGCTTGTCAGACTCATTAGCTGACTTCGGGGATTTCAGTTCACCTGATTGCTTTCAATATATGTGATGAATGAAATTAGGTGTTTCCACTACTTACAATAATTATACAATTTCTCGTTCTAGGTAACATTTGACTTGATGCATAATATATTATCAAGTGTTGCTTTGTAGGGAGTTGATTGGTTACAGGCCTGATGACGACCTGACATCAGTCAAAAAAACACAAGCAGTAGTGAGTAATCGTAACTGGTGGGGTCACTGCTAAATACACATATATCACCAATTGGCAGAAGTTGGAATCCACGGACCGTTATGTCGGATTCCAGTGGCTGAATGGTGTACGAGATCGCCTCGTAACCGGAAAATCCTGGGTTCGAACTCCCAGTGTGCGTCGGTGGCACAGTGGTTAGGACTCTCGGCGACCATGCACATGGTCCGGGGTTCGATCCCCTGCCGGCGCACACCCGATATCTATGGTATGCCTGAATTTGGGCAACCGATATCCATGCTGAAAATTCCACACTTGTACTGAAAATACGGTGTGGAATCAAGCTGTAAATCAAAAATAAAAATAAAAAAAAATACTACTGAAGAGTCCCAAACCAATGGGACGAAGCAGCTGTCCAGTACTCCCTGGTGGTTTCCCACAAGTTCTCTAACTGATATCACCTCGTAATCAATACTGTAACAATAATGATAATATAACTCGTCAGATCAATTTCATTCAACAGATTATTGTCCGAATTAGGTCAATTTTATGCGAAGGAAGCGTGTGGTATTGTGTGCGTTTTGTTGTGTGTGTGTGTGTGTATCGGTGTCACATTATTTCACTTATGTTACATGATTTAATACTAAGGTGCAGACAATAGACCTGTTACACAGTTCGCATTCATATTGACAAGTATCATTTTGTTTAGACTTGAGAAAAAAATTAAACGTTACTGTCAAAAGTTTATGAAACTCTTAAATGTCTACAATCCTTCTAATAATAATAATAACAATAATAATTGTACAAACAGATTTCGGAGTTTATTGTGTATTACGTTTCATTTCGTTATATATACATATGCGTATGTGTTTAGATTGAGTGTGTTCAATAGACAGAATAAATCGATAAAGAACTTGTGAACTTGACTACTGTATCATTCAACACCACAAAGTAGACGACATTAGACTGTCTAATCTAATGAAGTGGTGATTGAAGCGGAAATATACGAATATGGTTAAGATATAAACGAAATATGAGACTTCTCCACTGAACAATTCATGTATTGATTAGACACCTACAAGATGGAGGTCAATCTTCTCCCGAATAGCTCATTAGTAGCATTTCTGACTATGGTACTGGGGCGGGAGACTTGAGCTCAAGTGACAAACAACATGGATATAAATTCCTCCTAGATTGCAGACATGGATCAGAAACCACGAATCTTGAATGCTGAGCTTATTGCCAGTCCCCTGTGATCATTTATCATTGATTCAAAGAATGTGCACGTCAATAGCTGTTCTCCTTGGCTGACAGAATTCCATCAGCACCACTTAGGACTAGAAAGATGACAGTCACCACTCCACAGTGACCAGTCAACAAGAGGACACTCAGCCTATCACTGGGAATCATGTAGTATATTAATTCAGTTAATACG